TTCCCCCTGCTGGGGGTGGGGTGGGGGGGGGAAAGGGAGAAAAGCAGGGTGGAGCAGGGCGGGGGAAAGAGGCATGCACTAGAAAGAGCTGCCCAGTGGCAGGCCATGGGATGTCCACACAGATGGTTCTGAGGAAACCACTCAAGTGGCCCTGCAGCTGCCAACCGAGCCCAGCAAGGCCGCAGGCACTAGAGCAATGGCTCTGCACACCAGCAGGAGCCTGTGCATGTGGAAACAAGTTGACTTTTGCTCTGCTTTCCAGGCCGGAGTCCTCGGCCACATCCCACAAAGCACCTGTGGATTCCGATGCTTGTGGCTGCACAGCGCCTGGGCTGGGTGCCACTCAGCGCACAGCGCCTGCCTGTGCCGCAGCCAACCTGCACAGCCCCCCGAGGGCGTGGGCTGTGCTCCAGACTGCGCCAGGCTGCTGGGGGTGCAGCGGGGCCCTAGGAGGTGAGCCAAGTAGGGAGGGCCCAGTGGTCAGAGGGGTGTCCTTCTCACTCCTATGGGTAGACATGGCTAAGTGTGTCCCCTAGGGTGGCACTGTGGGGAGGCCATGGGCCCTCAGTAGGTGGGGCCAGGAGGGAGGTCCTTTTCTGGGGACATGCCCTCGGCCTCCCGAGTCACTGGGATTACAGGTGGGTGCCACTGTGCCTGACTCTGGCTTCTTTTTCTTTCTTATTTTTGTGAAAAAGGAAAAAGATGGGTTTATTGCTTTGCTGGCAAAGGTTTCTGGTTGGGTGCTCACACTGGGCTCTTTCCACTTGGGTTGGCGGCTCCTTTTGTGTTGGATGGTGCTGGCCTTGCTCACCCCCACAAGATCCAGCGTGGGCTGTGGCCTTCGGCCTTCCTGTGCATCCTCAGAAGCAGGGAGTGGGCTGGTTGGGGCACTGATGGATCTCCTGGACAGGTGCTGTACCGGTGTTCCCCACAAGGTGGGCAGAGCACCTGCGGGGATGCTGGGAGGCTCTGCCAGCTGTTCACTGTCAGTAGCTCTGTGCTGCCCTCAGCAGTATCCCCACCCACCAGCCTATGTCAGGGCTTCCAAGAGAGATCGCCCTGGCCCCTCCCTCTGGAGAGAGGGACTGTTGAAGGAGTTGACTGTGAAGGCTTCAGGTCTGAGATGTCCCAGGTCTGCCACAGGCTGTAGGCCTGGGGAGGTATCGCCCGCGTCCATGGGCGATGGAATCGAGATCACTCTGCGTGGTTTGGGCCGGCAGCAAAAGGATCACACAGACACGAAGTAATTTTTTCACAAAGCCCGGCGGAAGGGGGGTGGTGGTGGTGGACAGCTCTGCAACCTCCCAGGTCCTCTTCCACGCTGGAAGGCAAGAGAGCAAGTGTACCCAGAATCACTTTATTTATAGGGAAAAGACACAGGATTTTCAATAGAATATTCTACACCAAATAAAGCAGGGGGTAAGCTTTCAGGGTGCTGCCCAGTCCCACTGGGTAACGCTCAAGCCCAGGGCTGAAGCAAATTCTTTGTTGAGCCAAGGTGAAGGCCACTTGCTTCGAAAAGCTTGTGGTGTGCAATGCCAGGCCAACACCCCCTTTACTCAAGGCTGAGAGGAGTACTTAGCTCATGGGCAGGGCGGCCTCCTACAGGGAACGGGCTGGTGTTACCCTGGAGTATGAAAGCCACGTGCCTCCAGATTTCCCTCTTTATAGGGGATATCAGCCCCCCTGACCTTTATAAAAGTCCTTCAACTGATTGGGCGAGGCCCATCTGCATTGTGCTTTTAGCAGTCTACTGTGATTAATGCTGATCTCATGTGAAACATATCTTCACAGCAACACCCAGACATGCCGACTGAACATGTGTTCTGAGGTCAGATGGACGTGGAGTGAATCCTCACGGCACTTGTGATGCTTCTGGTCTGAACCAGCCATTGCTGTTGTACTACTGTCATGGTGTTCCCTGTGTGGTGACTTGTTAGCTGCTGTCCTAAGGAGGGCTTCTCTTCTTGCCTGTTTGTCAACTTGGCTTAGATTCCTGGATTTTTAGGTTTTTTTTTTGGTACTGAGGATTGAACCCAGGGGTGCTTAACCACTGAGCCACATCCCCAGCTTTTTTTTAAATATTTTGAGACAGAGTCTCACTGAGTTGCTAAGTGCCTTGCTAAGTTTCTGGGGCTGGTTTTGAGCTCGAAATCCTTGTGCCTCAGCCTCCAAAGCTGCTGGGATTATACGTGTGTGCCACTGCACCTGGACCATGAGTAGTTATTATTATCGTTTTCTTCTTTTTTTTTTTTTTGGTACTGGGGATTGAACCTAGGGGCGCGTTACCATTGAGCCACATCCACAGCCCTTTTTATTTTTTGTTTTGAGACAGGGTGTCACTAAGCTCTTAGGATCTAAGTTGCTGAGATTGGCCTTGACTTGGTGATCTTCCCGCCTCTACCTCCTGAACTGCTGGGATTACAGGCGCATGTGTGCCATGGCATCCAACTTGTTTTCCCCCTTTTCCTTTTTTTTTTTTTTTTGGTACTGGGAATTGAACTCAGGGGTGTTTAACCACTGAGCCACATCCCCAGCCTTTTTTTTATGTTCTATTTAGAGACAACCTATCAGGCTCCCTCTTGTCCTGTGGGAACTCTGCCTCTTCTCACTTGAATAAATCCTACCCTATGCTAAAACAAAACAAATCAAAAGAATAAAAAACAAAGGAATAAAAAGTGCTGAGGATGTAGCCCAGTGGTAAAGGGATCCTGGGTTCTATCTCCAGTATCACCAAAAAAAGAGAAATCCTTCCTTCCTACTTCCACTTAGATAAGGATATTCTCCCACGTTTTTCCTGAGGTCTTGCTTTGATTCCTCTGGGGCTGGTTTTGTATAAGACAAGAGATGGTGATGTGACACTCGCTACCTGGAGAGAGCCAGGGCTGCAGTGCTGACTGGGTTCAATCCCAGCACCACACCAAAACAAAAACAAACATGGAAGGGAATCAGTGGCACTCTGGACCAGCCCCAGCCCACACCTGCCCTGGCCAGCAGGGCCCCTTCTGCAGTCTGTTGACCCCAGAGAAGCAGCTTGTTTCTGGATTCTGCCCTGCTTGCTTTCGGCCATTTGTTCTTTCTACTGATTGCTGGCATCAGCTTGGCAAGCGCCACTGAAAGCTTTGTGTTTACAGGTTATTTGGAGAGAAAACCCGCCATCTCTGCGTTCTCTCTGTCACTGTGACAAAACATCCACTGAGCCAAGTCAGCATAAGGAGAGGTTCTTCCTGGCCCATGGTTTTGTGGCCCTGTAGCTTTTGGGCCTGTAGCACGTCGTGGTGGAAGCATGGGGGTCCCAATGTCCTCTTCAAGGGCATGCCCCCAGTGTCCTACTAACTCCAACTGGGCCCTACTCCTAAAGGTTCCACCACCGGCTCCTAGTCGTGCCCCAAGCTGGGGACCAAGCCCTCAGTACACGGGTCTTTGGGGGAGGTTAAGATCCAGACCACAGCTGTCCACAAACACAGCTCGGCTGCCTCCTTCAGACCCTTCAACAGAAATGTCTTATTTAACCTCATCTCACTCACCCGGACCTGAGGTTGAAAATGGCACTTTCTAAAAGATGCCGCTTTGTGTCCCGATTGTTGTTTCCTGGTCTTGTCCCGCACCCTGGCTGCCTATTACAAACCCTGATCCTTTTTTTTTGGTGTTTGAATGTGGAAAATCGTTCCGACTGTAAACACAGGCGTTGACTTCTTCCTTTCCAGCCCTTCTAACTTCTTTCCTTAACACTGAAAAGAGTGGACGTGGCGGGCGCCCGGCGGACCCCGCGCTCTGGACCCGGCCGGGCTGAGAGGCTGCAGGAGGATCCCGGCACCCAGAGTGCGGCGCGGCTTCCCCCGGGCGCAGGCGGAACCGGCCCCTCGGTGTCGCCTGCGCCGCGTCCTCCTCGGCACCGCACGCGTGCCTATCGACAGCGCAGTTCCCGAGAGGGCGAGTGGCTTCCCCAGAACCACAGGTCAAAGCCAGGCCCGGGAGGCCTCAGCTGGGATCCGTCGGCCACGCCTCGCGCAGGCCAGGCGCGGCCCTGCAGGCCCAGCGCCCTCGCCCACTGCCGCAGGTCGCCGCCGCCTGCCTTCGCCGGCTGCATCAGCTCGGAGCCACGCGACCCAGTGAGCGCCGGCGCACAGGGCGGGCCGCGGCCGGGGGCGGGGCCGGGGCGTGACCAATGCCGGCGCGCCCCGCGCTCCCGGGGGGCGGGGGGGCGGGGCGGGCGCAGAGGCCCCGCCCACGCGGCGCCGGCTCTGGCGTCGCCCCGCCCGTCAGTGCGGCCAAGAGGACGGAGCGGCGACGGCGCGCGGCAGGCGGCGGGTGACGGCTCCGGCGGCGGCGGCGGCGGCCAATGAGGGCGGCCGGAGGGGGCGGGGCGTCGCCGCGGTTTTGTTCCGCCGCGGCTGGGGCGCGTCGAGCCCATGTGAGGAGCGCGGCCTGCGCGGCCGGCGCCCGCCGCCCCACCTTGGCCGCTGCCCGCCGCCCGCCGCGCAGGTACCGAGCCGGCCGCCCGCCCGCGCCGTGCCCCGCCGCTGTCAGCGCGGGCCCCGCGCCCTCGCCGCCGCTCACCGGGACCCGCGTGCACCCGGCACCCTATCGCTGTGCGCCCGGGACCCCCTCCCACCAGCCCAGGCCCCCACGCGCCTGGGACCTTTGTGCGCCCTCGGAGCCCCGCGCGCCCCGGCGTCCCCAGCACCCCAACACTCCTCGTGCACCCGGCGGCTTCCTCCCACCGGCGCAGGCCCCCGCGCTCTCGGACCCTTCCCCCGCCGGCTTTCGCTCCTCTCGCCTCGGGACCCTGTGCACCCTCGGATCCCCGCGCTCCCCGGGGTCCCCAGTACTTTAAAACTCCCCGGCACCCGGCGACCCCTTCCGACCAGTCTAGGCGCGACCCGGGACCCCCGATCCCTCCTGCCGCCCCAGGCACCCATGCGCACTGCAAGGGGCGCGCTCCACTTGTTGAATCAACTTTGCTGTCTCCTTGCAGAGCTGGGTGGGCCACTGCCTTTTCTGGTGTTTGTCGGTCCCATAACCCAGGAGAAGGAGGGCATTTGAGGAGATAACAAAGCACATTAAGGAAGCCCCAAAGGTGGACCCAGACGAGGTGGGGACCATCCCCAGCAACCTGCACAAGGTGACTCAGGTGGAATCCGGAGCCACTTTTCCTGTGTAGGCTGCGGCCCCAGTAAGTGGCTTTAGGACTTCTGTGAGTGGAGAAGGGAGCACTAGGTGAGATGGCGTCTCCTGACTGACTCTGTCTGCAGCATGCATTTATTTCATTTTGCCTGATCTGAGTACAGTCACAAATCTGAGGTTTCATCACTCCATCTGTGTGACATTGACTCTTCTCTGTACTGGGGATTGAACCTAGGGTGCTTCACCACTGAGAGACACCCCAGACCTTTTTATTGTTTATTTTGAGACAGGGTATCACTCAGTTGCTGAGGCTGGCCTCAAACTTATGATCCTCCTGCCTCAGCCTCAGGCTTGTGCTCAGTTGACTCTTTTTTTTTTTTTTTTTGTAGATGGACACAATACTTTTATTTCATTGTTTGTTCATTTTACGTGGTGCTGAGGATAAACCCAGTGCCTCACCACGTACCATCATTGTATCACTGAGCCACAACCCCAACCAGCCCCTCAACTGACTCTTGACTTTTGTATTTCATAACAGGGTACCTCTTTGAGCCTAAGCTTCCCTTGAAACTTTATGTTAATTTTTTCCCTCTCTTTTCTATTTTTTTTTTCCCCCGTGGTTCTGGGGACGAAACCCAAGGCATTTCACTTGCAACAAGTGCTCCACCAGTGAGCCTCACCCCAACCCCCATATTTATTTATGTAACTCAAACTAGATTCATGGCTTAATTGAATTTATGATGAGCTCTCAGCTCTGAGAAAGTCTTTAGCTGGGGCTGCTTTGACTTCAGGACCTGCTGCTGCTGCACACCATTCAGGAGCATTGCTGGTGCAGATTGCTGTGCTGTCCTTTCACAGTCACCTTGTCCCCCAAGGAAAATCAGTCCAAGAGGGAAAGTCTGGCCTCTTGCTCTGAAGGTGGAAGGCCAGGGAACAGTTTTGTTTTGATTCGAAACTATTACTTCAAAATCTGAATGGAAATTGTTCAGAAATAGTGGCTTTTCCTGAAATTGGGTTAGCCAGTCCAGGAGTTCTTGGTGGTAATTCTTTCAGACAGTTCTCCTCCCCTAGCTCTGGAGCCTTGTCCCTCTCCCGATTCCTCGGTGTATGCTGGGCACAGGTGATCTCCATCCCTTTCCTTTGCTTGATCCATGGTTCCTCTCCCTGTCCTGTGAACTTGGAGCTTGTATCTGGGGTTTCTAGCACAGTTGTGGTTCCACTCTGAGGACCAGATGCCATGGTGGGGGGCTGTATGTGGCGCAGTGGTGGGTGCCTGCTTTGCATGCGCAAGGCCCAGGTTTCATTTGCACACTGCAAAAAACAAAAAAAAAAAAAAAGCAGAAACTTCCTTTGTAACCGTTCTGCCACTTTGTATGAATCCTAATTTTTTGACTTGCATTAGATTTGGGGGCCACAGAAAGAGCAGTTTTTGTTGCTGCTCAAAGTATGTGAGATGAAATGCCAAGGCAGTCATTGTTTTAAAGTAGATGCACTGGTAGCTTTCTGGTTGTGGAGATGCTTGCTCATATCACTGTGTGCATAGGGAACAGTAGTATGAGGACGTTCCTTTTTGAGAAAATATGATTTAACTGGTAGAGAGAAGAACCAGGAAAACCCTTGGGTACTTTTCACTGGTGTACTAGAAATCCTGAAAACATTTTTTTTTTTTTTAAAGCAAATTAAGGGGGTGCTGGGGCTGTGGCTCAGCAGTAGTGCACTTTCCTGGCATGTGTGAGGCACTGGGTTCGATTCTCAGTACTGCATATAAATAAGTAAAATAAAGGTCTGTCAGCAACTAAAAAATATATATTAAAAGGCAAATTAAAAATTTTTATGTAAACCTTTTTAGCATTTTCTGCAATGATATTTACCAAAGTAAAATTGAATAAAAATTTTCTAAGCATTTGTTGTAAGCATAGATCATAGTTTAAACCTTGTCTTTGGCACTTGGGTACTTTCAAACATTAGTTAATTTGATTCCTTGAGGTCTCATGGGTTGTCCTTTTTTGGGTCCTAGGGGTTGAACCCAGGGGCACTTACCTACTGAGCCACATCCTCAGCCCTTTTTATTTTTTATTTTGGGTCAGGGTCTTGGGAAGTTGCTGTGGCTGGCCTTGAAATTAGGATCCTCCTGCCTCTACCTTCATGCCACTGGGATTCCAGGTGTGTGCTAGGCAAGCTCTTCTTAATCTCAGTTCCAGGAAACTTAGGGTCAGAAAGGAGAAGGAGCCCAGGGGGTACTGGCCAGCTGGGGCCACCTGCTCTCCCACCCATCTGTCTAGAGCTTGCCTTGTGCCCCTTTCTCAGAGTGAAGCGCCTGGGAGCTGTTTCCTTCTGTGTGACGTGCAGTGTGTGGGGACCAGCAGAGAGGAGGACTCCATTCAAGTGTCTTTTTTTGTTGTGTCTCAAAGGTAGCACTTCAAGCTTGGTTTCTGTACATTTAAAAAAATATGCTTTATTTCTCAGAGCAGCAGCTTTAGGTTCACAGCAAAATTGAATCAGGGGGCAAGGGAGTTCCCATCTACCCCTTCTCGTACCCTACACAGCCAGCGTCCTACTAGAGTGGCATATTGGTTCCACTTGAGAAGCTACCGTAGTACATCGTCAGCCGAGTCCAGAGCTAATACTGGGGTCCACTCTTGGTGTTACTGTTTTGTGGGCTTGACAAGTGTGTGATGAGTAGTGTCACTACTGAAGACCCCCTGTGCCATGCCTGTTCATTCCTCGCTCTGGCACCTTGGTGGCACTGTCTTAGCTCGAGTCCCAGCGCAGGGCCTTTTCAGATTGGCTGCGCTGCTTTCACTGGGATGTGTTTCAGTTTCTTCCATGGCTCCTTGTGTCTCCTGGTAGCTCATTTCTTCTCAGCCTTGCACGGCACCCCTTGTCCAGATGTGCCAGTTTATTTATCCACTGGAGTGCTGAAGGGCACCTTGGATGTATCCAGGTTTGGTGATGGGAATGAAACTGCTGTAGGCACCTGGGCAAGATTGTTGTGGACAGAAGTTTCTGCTTCCTTTGGTTAAATGCCAAAGGAACATGACTGCTAGTTGTGGGATGAAGAGTGTTGAAGCTGCCAAATGGTCATACACAGTGGCTCTGCCATCTCTCATCCCACCAGCAGTGAAAGAGTGCCATTGCTCCCCGTCCTCCTCAGGATTTGGTGTCCAAGTTCTGGATTTTGGCCATTCTAATAGGTGTGCAGTGGTACCTCAGGGTTGTGTGTTTTTTCTTTTTTTCCCTTTATACTGGGGATTGAACCAGGGGTGCTCTATCACTGAGCTAACCCCCTAGCCTTTCTGTTTTTCACTTTGAGACAGGGCCTGGCTAAGTTGCTGGGGCTGGCTTTGAACTTGTGTTCCTACTGCCTCAGCCTCCTGAGCTGCTGGAATTACAGGCATGCGCCACTGTGCCTGGCTATTTATTTTTGATTGGTACTGTCTATATATACATAAAGGTGAAACTACTTGTGGTATATTTATATATGCATATGACATGATTTTGTTAAATTCGTTCCACATTTTCTTGCCTTTCCCGTCCCTTCTCCCTCCATCTCCTACTCTTGTGATCCTTCCCCTATCTTTGTGATAGTTCATTCCCCATTTCCTTTCCCTTATTTTGCTCCAGCTTCCACTGATGAGAGAAACAGACTGTTATGTCCACTCAAAAGTCCTGTGCTGAAAGCTACTCCATGATGCAATGGTATTTGGAGGTGGAGTCTGTGGGAGGTTCTTAGATTGTGAGGGCAGATCTCTCTGGAATGGGATTAGTGTCCTTAGAAAAGAGATTATGGTTCTTCCTTGCCCTTGTATCATGTGTGGACACATGGTCACCTGTGAACCAGAAAGTAGGCCCTCACTAATCTCCAAACCTGCCTGAATGGTGAGTAATGCATCTCTGCTGTTGACAAGCCATGCAGTCTTTGGCATCTGGTATGGTGACTTCGTAGGTAAGAAGTTTGGGACTGTACTGAATGTGTATGTCCCGTTGGGAGGAGATGGTGCTTTGAGTGTTGAGCCTTTCCTCTGCACAGACGAGGGCTCTTCCATGGATTTAGGGTTTGATTTCTTTCATCAGTTTTGTGGTTTCCTTGGTATAGAGCTTGTACATATTTTGTTAGATTTGTTCCTTAGTCATTTTTTTGGGTGCAAATGTAAATGGTGGTGTGTTTTTAATTTCAGATTCTACTTGTTCATTGCTGGTGTAGAGGAACGTGGTGACGCCTGTGTGCTGACTGCTGCAGTCTTATCTCGACGGCTCAGTGTTCCAGAGGTAGTCGTCAGGCCCTTCAGATCTGCTGCAGAAGGATTCTTCCTCCGTCTCCTGTTGAGAACAGCATAATTCTGTTTCTTGCTCCCCAGGCTGTAGACCTTTCGTCCCTTCCTCTCCCACTGCATCAGCTGGGCTCTGGAGGGTGCTCTTGAGAAGCAGCAGTGAGGGGCATCCTTGCCTCATTCCTGGTTTTAGTGGGGAAGCTTCGCGTTTCTTGCTAATGCATGTGCTGCTGTCGGTTTTTATAGATGGTCTTCATCAAGTTGAGAAAGTTCTCTTTTTAGTCCGTTTTTGTTAGAATACCTGGCGCTGGGTGTGTTTTAGAGAAGCAAGCTTCTCTGCTCTCCTACCATGACATCCAACATTGAAGCTTTCTCTGGCCTCTGGAGGTGGGAGCTTACTCCCCACCAGCAAGTGAGCCATCAGTCTGCAGAAGAAGCAGCAGGGTCAGGTCAGCTCTGACACCACCTGACTGGAGACACATCAGGTCCCCAGACTACACCCATTTCGCCCTAGCTGCAGTTCTGGGCCTCTGGAACTTCTGACTGACCAGCTGTAAATTGACCTTCCCACAGCCCCCTCCTCCGGTTTGATTAACCATAACTCAGGAGCACCATACTTACATTTGCCAGTTTAATGTGGAGGATATATATATATATATATATATATATATATATATATATATATATGTTTTGAGCCACATCCCCAGCCCTTTTACTTTTTATTTTGAGACAGGGCCTCGCTAGGTTGCTGAGGCTAGCCTGGAACTTGAGATTCTCCTGCCTCAGCCCCCCAGGTCACCATGTGTGCATCACTGCACCTGCACAGAGAGGGTGTTTTAAAGAATACAAATGAGCATCGAGGTGGAGAGGTGCAGAGGGCAAAGCCTAGAGGGGTCCTCAGTGCAGGGGGCAGGGCTCTGGAGCTGGATTGCCACCCTCCCAGCACACGAGTGACTTCTGTTCACCTTCCTGTGAGGGTTCCCTATTCAGAAACTTCCTGGGCCCTGTCCTTCAGGGTGTTTATGGAGTCATTGTCCTTGCATGGTGTGACCCAGCATGGTGTGATTGGACATATAGGCTGACAGACTGGGTGGGCAAGCCCAGCAAGGCCTCTGACCAGATTCTTGGGCATGCCTTCCTGGAGGGCAGGGGCAGGACACTTCTCATGGGGGTCTTGTCAGACAGGTGGTGTTTGATGAGAACTTAAGATGAGATTTCTGTGACCTGACCTGGGTAAAAGAAATTAGGGGAAGAGAAGGTGGGAGAAGGCCGCGAACAGGACTGCTCTCTGAGGCCTGAGCCTGCTCCTGAGGCTGGTGGTACCCAGCACTAACCCAGTTGGAGCCGGGGCCAGGAGCACGTATGTACACGTCGTGTCACTTCATGTCACACTAGGTGGTTTGCAAGGACAGCTGTTTACTTTTTCAGTCTGGTTCTGTGGCAGTGCCCTCCAGGAGGGAGGTACCCTTGTGGCCCATCACCTCCCACTGCCCCACTCTTAGAACTGTTACCTTGGCAAGGCCTGAGGTTTGGAGGGGACACGTTCAAGTTGTACCCTTTCTTCGTATCTACTGAGTTTTTTGGTACCGGGTACTCAGGGGCACTTGACCACTGAGCCACATCCCCAGCCCTATTTTGTATTTTATTTAAAGCAGTCTCATGAGTTGCTTAGCGCCTCGATGTTGCTGAGGCTGGCTTTGAACTTGGGATACTCCTGCCTCAGTCTCCTGAGCTGCTGGGATTACAGGCGTGCGCCACCGCGTCCGCCTCGTGAGTTTTTATCATGAATGGGTGCTGGTGGATTTTGTCAGATGCTTTCTCTAGTATCTACTGATGTGATGACATGAGTTTTCTATGTTAGTCTGTTGATTTGTTGGGTTACACCAACTGACTGTCATTCTCATGTACTTTTTGCTCCATAATAACGATATTATTTTTTTGTGGTACCTGCGATGGAACCCAGGGCCTTGCACATGTTAGGCAGGTGCTCTACAACTAAGCTATATGCCTAGCCCTTCCCAAGTTCTTTTAAACTAAGATCCTACTTCCAAACAAATAGTTGTGGGTTTTACTGTTAGCAAGATATTGAGACAATTGGGTGTGGTGGCAGACACCTGTGATCCCAGTGGCTCAGGAGGCTGAGGCAGGAGGATCATGAATTCAAAGCCAGCCTTAGCAACTTAGTGAGGCCCTAAGCAATTTAGTGAGACCCTGTCTCAAAAGGCCTGGGGATGTGGCTCAGTGGTTAGACGCTTCTGGATTCAATCCCTGGCACCAAAAACCAAGAGATTGATTGGTTAGGACAGGTGCATTTTATTCCCTTTCTCGTTTTGTTGTGTCCTATTTTGAAAGGGCTTTCCAGAAAGACTTCCGAGTTCTTGTGCAGCTTATTAGTAGCACTAGCTGTGTGGCATCAGAACAAGAATGTGTCCCGGGCTTCCTAGGACCCAGAGCATGGCATCTGCATACGCTCTCTTCAAAGAAGAGACAGCTCTGAGCTGGTCAGCAGCCACCAAACAGCAACAGTTGATGATTTCAGTGGCCGTGGGAGGTTCACTTGCTTGGCTGTGCTGAGAGAGGGACACCATTGCTACCTTCTCCCCAGTCCTGGTGCCAGTGTGGTGACTAATCAGTCTAGCAGCGAGGTGGCATTTGGCCCCTTTCTCTGGAGTAAGCATACTGTTTTAGTTACCTGGCAGCATAATAAATTGCCTCCAAAACTGGTGGCTTGGGACAGTAACAGTCACTTATTATCGCGTGTGGTTCTGGGATCTGAGGTTCTGGAGCAGCTCCTTGGGCGGCCCTTGCTCAGGGTCTCACCCTGGTAGGTCAGGGGGAGCCTCCCTGGCAGCACCCTTGCTGCCGGGTCTGGTGTCTGCCCGGAACCAGCTGCATTTCTCCTGGCCTAGCGCCTCCTGGGCTCGTGCTGCCCGTGTCAGTCCAGTTAGTGAGATCCTTGCTGAGCTCTCTGAGGGTAGGCCTTGCGGGCAGGTCAGCAGCACAGCAAAGGGGGTGAGGCCCGGAGGAGAGGCCAGCGGTCTGGAGAGGACGTCCAGGAGCGGTCCAGAGACAGCACTGGAGAGGGTTGAGGCATGGTCAGCAGCCAGCACGCCTGAGATCTGCAAGGTTGTTCTGTTTTCCAACACTGGGGAGAGAAGACCCTGAGAGCTAGAAGGTGTTGGAGGGGTGGGCTTCCTGCCTCTATGGGAAGAGAGCAGAGTCATGGGCTTCATGGGCACCTCTTCCCAGGAAGCTGCAAGATATGGGGCCAGGTCAGAGGTAGGAGGACACTGCCCTATGGTCTAAGCCCAAGGCTGCAGGGTCCTGATGTCTTTTATTCTTTTTTTCTTGGTCCTGATGTCTTTTATTCCTTCTTTTTTTCTTTAATATTTTAGTTGTAGATGGGCGTTAAGACCTTTATTTATTTTTATGTGTTGCCAAGGATCAAACCCAGTGCCTCATACATGCTAGGCAAGTGCTGCACACTGAGCTACCGCCCCAGCCCTCTTGATGTCTTTTATTCAACCAAACTTGTTCCTAGGAGCTTTATAATTCTGTTGGGGAGTTTGGGGAAATAATTGTATTAGGCAGAAACTTTGCATATGAGAAAAGGAGGGCTGGGCGCGGTGGTGCTCACCTGTAATCCCAGTGGCTCAGGAGGCTAAAGCAGGAGGATTGCAAAAGTTCAAAGCCAGCATTAGCAAAAGTGAGGCGCTAAGCAACTCAGTGAGACCCTGTCTCTAAATAAAATACAAAATTGGGCTGGGGATGTGGCTCAGTGGTCCAGTGCCCCTGAGTTCAATCTCCAGATTCCGCCCCCCCCCCGCCACAAAAAGGAGGGAATTTTTAATTAGGGGACAGCCTGCTGGGCAGCTGACTGAGCATGCTCTGCATGGGGGTGACGTGGAAGATGACTCACTGAGCCCCTGGGAGGTGTGGTGGAGGAGCTGGTGTAGGCCGTGTCCATGGTCAAGGTGAGTTGGTCACTTGTCAGTCACTGGTTGCCCCAGGGAGGGGGAGGAAGTGGAGCAAGAAGGGAAGCACACCTCCGAGGGGCTGAGAGCACCCTCTGGGGTGTCTGCTGTGAGGAGAGGATATGGACTTGGATGGTATCTCACCCAAGTCCACATGAAGTCCTCATCCACGGGACCTCAGAATGTGACCTTATTTGGAAGCAGGGTGGTGGACCATGTAATCAGTGAGGTCATGCTGGAGTGGGGTGGCCCTAATCCCAAAGAACTGGTGGACACAGATGGGATGCATGGTGCCGGTGGGAGTGAGGCTGCTATTAGGGAGAGGCCCTTGAACATGCCCCAGGGCCACTGGAGGGCCATTGGAGCTGTGCATTTTGTGGGGCTTGTTTAGGACAGCCACAGGATACTGACTCATGGCTTGGCCAATGCTCTGACTCCATCTAGTAGACCTGAATGAAGATTAAAAAAAAAAAAAAAAAAGAACCCACTTTGGTGCTGATGTGGAGGGTGGGTCCCCAGGAAGTGAGTGCAGAGCCCAGCGGGAGTTCTGTCTCTGTCTAGGTAGAGGGTGAGCATCTGGGTCGGTGCCGAGTTGGGGGCTCTTCTCATTGCCTCTGTGGAGCCCCTGCCCCGCCTGTGATGCTTGGGCAGAGGATGGGGGCTGCGCAGCCACAATGTAGGGTGACGGAAGAAGGAGGGTAGGGAAGGCCAAGGGCTTGGGGCCAGGGCCAGGGTTTTGTCCTCTGTCCTAGAGACCTGGGAGTGTGGCTCTGGGGGCAGAACGTAGGAGCCCTCTTTCACTGGTGTTGCTGCAGGGACCTGAGGACCAGCTTGGCCCAGCATTCTCCAGGGTAGAGTGGGAAAGAGTGGCAGGGAAGGGGCAGGGCCAAGGGGTCAGCTGACACTGGCTCCTGTGCAAGGAGGGCAGAGCTGTTGGGAGCTGGCTTGGTGACAGTTGGAGTGGGAATGGGCTCCAGTGGGCATTGGCCCCTGGGAGGGGCAGACCATGGGGCCCACTGTCCCTCCTGAGGTGTCTGGCTTGTGTCCTTTCCCAGTTCCTTCCAGAGCACTGTCCTTGGCCATGTCCCACCCTCCTGTGGGCAGGGCTGGTCAGTTCTGTCACCTGAGCCAGGTATCCCACTTTGCCACCGCTGCTGTACATCCACCTCTGCATCTGGGGGATCTTCCTGCCAGGGCCAGCCTCTGTCTCCCTCTTGGGGCCGCTGGCTCAGCTTTCAGTCTCCATGTCATCTTCCAAGGGGCTTCTTAGGTTGCCCATAACAGGCTGCTGCTTGCCTCTGGTGGAGGCCAGTGGCCCTCCTCTCTGCCACCTCTTCTCTGGTGGAGGCCAGTGCCCTCCTCTCTGCCACCTCTTTCCTGACGGTGGCTGGTTGGTTTCCTCCTTACTGCCATTTCATTGTTTTGTGCTTCTCTGGCCTTTCCTGCCTAGACTTGTGCTTCCTCTGATCCTGACCAGCTTCATCCCCAAACCCCACCTAGGCTCCTGTGGAGGGGCGGAGCCTACCTGGAGGATGGGCATGCTGTAGCCTAGTGGCTGTGCCTGGCATCACGGTCAGTTTCTTAGAGGGCAGACGGGCCTGGCACTGTGGGTTGAATAGTGCCTCCCAGCTGTATTCAAGTCCTGACACCTCCCCCACATCTCTGAATGTGACCCTACTTTGAAGTTGGGTCTTTGCAGATGTGACCTAGATAGGTTAAGAGGAGGCCTCACTGGATTAGGATCGTTCAGTCCTCTGAAGCTGCAGAGCCTTGGGAGAAGCTGCTCACCTGGCAGGCGAGGACCTATGGAGAGGCAGAGATGCTGATGCCGCCAAGAAGCTCAAGGCTCCCTGTGAGCCACTGGACCCGGAGCTGCAGGGCCCAGCTGTTCCTCTGTACCTCCAAGGAGGGCTCTCTGACTCTGGCTTGTGGAAGCCCCTCAGTGTGGTGCTTTGTGGTGGCAGCCCTGGAAACACCCAGTCTTCTCCTCAGTTGGCATCTTCCTGCTGTGCTGGGGTCTGGGCACTGACAGCCCCTGCTGGGCTTCCAGGTGGGAAGGGTGTGCGGAGCTGCTTTCTCCTCTGCTGGCAGGGGTCCACCACCACGGCCTTCCCCCATTCTGCCCTGCCGAGCAGTGCAGGCCCCTCCTGAGCTCGTAGTGTTGACAGGATGCAGTTCCACCAGCGTTAGATGTCCTTGTTGAGGGGTGTGGAGACCTTCCGCGCAGGTCCCCATCTCCCACTGCTACAGGGCAGAGACTGACATCCATCAGGAAAGTGATGCTGAGGGGTGCAGGACTGCCGTCCAGCGGGGCCGAGTCAGTCTCCCAGTCTCCTCAGTTGGCGTCCTCCTGCTGTGCTGGGAGGCCTCAGCAATGGTCGGCGTTGTGTTGGGTGCCCTCCTGGCCTTACTGGCCTTGCTCTGGCCTCCGTGACACTTCTGATGGTGCTGGCCAGTTGTTTTGCAGTTTGCCCCCTGGGTGTGTCTGATTAGACTGAGGTTCTGTATCTTCAGTAGGAGCCCTGCTGTGGGCCGTGTCCTCCCCAGGGTCCCCTCAGAAGGCACGGTGTCCATGTGTCCTGCCTCTTGTTGGGGTCATTTGATCCTGTGGCTTAGGAGGTCCCCTGTGGGTTATTTTCCTTTGTAACTAATGAATGTCTGGTGGGGAGATGATTGCACACAGTGTGAGTTCAGATCCTCTCACACCGTCCCTGTGGAGTTTAGCACTCAGCTGGTGATGGTCCCTTTCTTTCTGTTTTGCAGTGCTGGGATCGAACCGGGCCGCACACATGCCCAGCAGGCAGGCTGCCCCTGAGCTGCACGCCAGCCCTCCACTGATGGCTCTTGCCTGAAACGCGTGTTGGTATGTGTGTCAGAGGGTGAGTTTATGGGGTTTCAGACTTTCAGTCTGAAACAGACCCACTCCTGTCCCATCTGCCAGCTGCCCCCAAACCTGCATCAGCCCAGCTTCACCTGCTCCTCCAGTGCTCCAGGACCATGGAGTCTGTTGCTTCCTCTCTCCTTGAACTGGGAACCCAGGGTCTCCACATGATAGACAGGGGCTCTACCACTGAGCTACATCTCTAGCCCTTCTTATTTTTATTTTGAGACAGGGTCTCACTAAGTTGCCCAGGCTGGCCTTGAACTTGGGATCCTCCTGTCTCAGTCTCCTGAGTTTCTGAGATTACAGGCGTAGCTACCACACCTGGTTGTGGCTGTTTTTAAAATAACTACTCATTATGTTATGATTGTTTTTTCAAGTTGAATTGTGCTACTGCGGCCTCTTGGGGGTTGACGTGTGTATTTTTGTCTACCCAGGAGGTTTCAGCAGGAGGAGATGGTTTCAGCAGATGGTGGCACCTGGGCTGAGGGAAAGGGAACTGGTGGATGTTGGGATTGGTACAATTAAGGAGTGTCCTGCTTGACACCCATCTAGCTGAGGGTGGACCCTGCAAAGCCCTGTCCTACGAGGGTGTGACTCAGAAGTTGGGGCTGAGGTGAGCTCTGGTGCAGCGAGGATGGGCAGCCAGACCAGTGCTGGTCCCACAGCAAGCCTGGTGCTGATTCAACCTCCTTGTTTGAAAAACACAGACCCGCTGGACCTGTCTTGGCTCACATTCCCTGGTGTAGGCCAGAGCTCTGCCCAGGTCGGCGGGGGCTGTCAGTGCCAGGCACACCAGGTGCTGAAGGAACAGGGGTGTGATCCCAAAGCAGACGAGCTATACGGGAGCAGCGTTCCAGCTGCTTGGGTACCCCCACCTGGAGTAGCCCCTGTGTGTGGGGAGGACTCAGTCCTGTCTGGGCCAGGCCTCCTGGTCCCCGGGTCAGGCCTGTGGCACCTGCTGGGTCTCAGGTGCAGTGTTGATGGTTACACTTGGTCCTGCTTCCTGCTTATGGAGGGCCCTGGCTGCCCCATCCAGGCAGATGCCAGCTTTGGGCCTCATTTTCAAAGTCACCCAGGGGAAGTGTTGGTGGATTCTGTTTAGAGGGCGTGTTTCCTAAGTGTGGGAAGTGAGTGCTAAGTCTTGGCAGCGTCTTGGAGGTACGGGGGTTCTCCTGGGCTTTCCTGGTCTCTCCGCGCATGGCTGAGGTCGGGTGTTCCTGCTCTCCAGTGTGGCCCTGCTTGCTGTGGCAGTGGCGCCACACTGTGGGCCAGCTGGCCGCACCTGCTGAGTTGGGGTGGACACTCACCTTGGGCAAGCTGGCTGGCTGGAAGGGGGGCTAGTGCTCGCAGGTGCTCCAGTGTGTAGCTGCCCTGTCCTGTCCTGTGGCGCTTGGGGACGTGTGCTCAGGAGGCCTGTGGGGTCCAGTGCTGTTCAGCTTCCAAGGCCTCTTTTGTTCTCTTGGTCCTTTCAGAGGGTGCTGTCACCAGGTTTGCCACTTTGCTTCCCGCCATCTGTGTGGCCTCTTGCTTCCTTGGTTGATGGCCCCTAGTGGCAGCTCCCACTCACCACTGGGCCCGGAGCAGTCTAAAGCCTTGTGTGAGTGGCGTCCTGGGGGCACGCTGGACCTCTTGCTGGATGGGGACATCTTACCCTTTGGGGGAGCTGGCCACCCCAGGGCCAGAGCTCAGGACTTGCAAACCCCCTTCTTGTAGGACTGGTGTGCCACCCTGTTCTCCCCAGAGGGACCCACGCTTCAGGGGCCAGGGCTGGGGAGGCAGATCTGGTGTGGACCCCTGCTGGCCACCTGGAGGCCTGGCTCCCACTGCTGCCGTCCTTCCCTCCTTCCTTGGAGCAGGTTGGGTGGCCTTTCCTGCAGCTGTAGGAAAGGGTTTCAGTGGGGCTGGTGCTGTGTGTGCCTCTGACCCTTCATCCTTCTCCAGAAGAGCCTGTTCCTGGAGGTTCCAGGTGGTTTTGAAGGCGGGAAGGTGTTTGTCGGGCGGGATGTTAGGAGTGTACGAGAGAAGCCTCAGCACCGTGGTTCCACTCTGGTCACGTGGCCGTTTCTATTTGCAGGCACAGCTCTGAAGAGCCTGGGGAGATGGGCCGTTGCGTCTGCGAAGCAGAGACATAACCCTGAGGTTCAGCACGACCCAGCTGTGGCCTGGGCCTCCCAAGGTCCGATGTCTCAGAACGGCAGCACTCCGTGGTGGGCGGAGGGAGGGCGCTGACCATGGTCACGCTCATCACCGAGAAGCTGCAGAACCAGAGCCTGGATGACCTTACCCACAAGGCCTGTGAAGCTGGCCCGGTGAGTTGGCTCCAGCGCCAAGGGCAGAGTGCTGCCCATGTGTGGTGTCCCAGAGTGGCTGCACTGGGACGTGGAGGCCTCCCAGGCCGAGAACTGAGGGGCCTGGTGGGCTGGGCAGCAGAGGCGCCGTGTGCATCCAGGCCCAGGCCTGTTGGCGTTGTCGGGGCCTGTGCACGTCTGTGTCCAGGTGGTCAGCACATGTGGCCTGGTCAGGTGCTCTGAGGGAACCTCTCGATTTCATCACCGTGGGTTTTGTCTGGTCTGAACCTGGCGTAGGCAGAGTAGTTTTCTACCTATGAGGTAAGTGGACTTTGTATGTCACCCTGAGGACACCCACTGCCCTGGTTAGATTGAGCATCCAGCCTGGAGTTGGCACTGTGCAGGTGGCCTGCTTGGGGGGGGGGGGTCTCCATCCTGTCACCCCATCCCGGCTGGCACGTGGCTGGGCCCGTGCTTGGCAGACCCTGTGTGTTGTCCCTCTCTGGGTGGACGTGGGCTGGTCCCCTGTGGCTGGTCCCCTGTGGCGTGGGCCTGGCCTGCGGGCGTTGTGGGAGCGTTCCTTGTGTGCTGGAGGAGTTTCCCGAGGACCCGCCAGGTGCTCCCACAGCAGCTGCCGTGTCCCGTCTTGGGAGAACTGTCGCTGTCAGGGAGAGCACAGCTGCCCTCGTGGATGTGGGTGGTGCCTCGCTGTGGGGCTCCTCGTCCTCTGAGCTGGGTCCCCTGGTGGTCATGCTGTTCCTCTGTTGGCTGTCACTCACGCCTGTCCTCTTGGGTTCCGGGTACTGGCCCTTGCTGGCAGTCGTGGAGCTTCGTCTGCCCAGGGTGCTGGCTTTGCACTCACTTGAGGGCATCGCTGAAGACACGGTGTCTTTTGTTTGGTTTGGTTCTGGAGATTGAACATAGGGTGCTGTGCCCTTGCGCTAGACCCCAGCCCTTTTTATTTTGAACCGGGGCCTCACTAAGTTGCCGAGGCTGGCCTTGAACCTTCGATCCTCCTGCCTTAGCCTCCTGAGGTGCTGGGTTGACAGGTGTGTTCCACCACACCTGGCAAAAACTTATTCTTTAAAAGCCAAATTTTTTGAGAAATTTGTGTATTTTATTCTATAGCAAATTCAACTTAGACACTAAAAGTCTCATTGTAAAAAAAAAAAAAAACAACTAAAAACTCAGAAACTAAATATTTGTTACAGAAATAGTTGATGGTGGTATTTAGATTTCATAAAACTTACACTTGAAAAAAGAAGGTTCACGCACCCAGGCTGCCTAAACATACTCAGGGCTAGGTGTGTTGGTGCACCTCTGTGATCCCAGCACCTCTGGAGGCTGAGGGTGGGTGGCTGCAGGTTCAAGCCCAGCCTCAGCAACCTAGAAAAACCTTCTCTGAAATTAAAAATGGCCGGGGATGTAGCTGGGAGTTCCTTGAGTTTAATCCCCAGTACTCCTCCCTGCAAAAGTGGCTCAGTTGGTAGGGTGCCCTGCGTTCAATCCTTGGCATTGCAGAAAAAAACACAAGTTTTCTCGTAACAGAATTGGATATAAGTTTTAAAACTAAAATTTAAAATAATCTGAATGCAGTTAGAAGTCCCAGACATCAGTGCCCATGCCACTTGTCCAGCCCAGCCCACCCTGAGCACCTCCCTGTGCTGAATGCTTAGGACCCCACATCCCTGGCCTTGGCCAGGGTGTGGTGCACTTCAGAGGCCTCGCCCAGTCCCGGAGGCTCTGGCAGGGAGGGCAGTGTGTCTGTCGTGACAGAGGACTGCAGGGTTGGTCCATCCCGTCAGACCGAGTCCTCCCTGGATGCAGTGAGGTGGGCTCCTCCATCGCTGCTCTCTGTTGAGTCTCCTGGGGCTACACCCCTTGTCCCCAAGGCCTCCTTTTACCCAGGACTCAGGCTCACCCATTTCTTTCTTTTTAAAAAAAATTTTTTTTTTTTTTTTTTAGTTGTGTGCAGACACAGTATTTTTATTGTATTCATCTTTATGTGCTAGGCAGGTGCTCTACCCCTGAGCCCCAGCCCTGAGCCCCAGCCCCAGCCCCACCCCCACCCATTCCTTCTGCTCTGCTTCTGTCTGGGGAATGGAGGCTAGTCCTGCTGTGCAGAGAGGCCTAGGGAAAGGATGGGCTACTCCAGCCTCCCCTGCCCTTCTCTTGTCCAGGTAGGCCAGTAAGTGCCTTGAGGTTGCCCACGTCTCTTCTCCTGCCACACCACTCCCCTGTGCGTCCCCCTTCCCTGGGGCCCCCCAGCATCCCTGCTTGCTCTTGGTCAGCAGTGACTCTCGAATGGCACCACGCAGCGTGTAGCCTCTGGCTTGGCTTTCCTCCTGCGCAGCTCTCTGGGAGCGGGCCTGTAGTCACCGCCTCTCTGCTTTGCCCCCTTGTGCAGTGGGGGAGCTTCACGGCAGGAGTGAGTCTGGACTGGACGCTGCCTTCTGGAAGCTTCTTCAGCACGTGGCGGTCCTGACCGGCTCCCGGTGCCCTTAGCAGGCTGTTCCTTGCCCTCTGGGGAGATTTGGGTTTTGATTCCTTCCCTTGCCTGTGGCTTCAGGCCAGAGGAGGTGCTGACTACTTGAAGGCCCACAGATGACCAGTGACCATAGGAGTGATGACTGGTGACACTGGGGGTTGTGGCGGGGCCTCACTGACTGCTGGAACAGTGCTGGGGGCTGGGGGCATGATGGGGGCTGAGCCCTGAAAGGTGGGAAGGGTCCTTCTGTTGCTGTGGCAGAAACGGGGGCCATGAGGGCCCTCAGGGCCAGGGAGAGAAAAGAGTGGACAGTGCTTGTGTTTGGGTGTCCAGAGGCCTGGAGATAGCAGCAGGTACTGAATTCCACGTGTAGAGGTCATTCAGTGAGCTGGGTGCCTTCCCATACCTGTACCTGTTCCCATGCTGGGCTGGGGTGTAAGTGCTCACCTGTGGGTGGCAGACGAGGGCAGGGGCAAGGGTGAGTTGTGCAGTGTGTTTAAAGAAATGTTGCTGCCCCTGAGGGTGGCCAGAGTGGTTGGGGGCTGCCAGGGCGATGGCCTCTGGCTGGGGCTGGAGGTGGTGGGTGGTGGGCTGTGTGCAGGTCTCGGGGAGATCCTTGCTGGCTGACAAACTGGTGGTAGTAGGAAACTGTGGACTCGGGTCAGGGTAGCTGCCCTGGGGCAGTGGGAGGGAGGGCTGGGAGGCCAGATGGAAGCAGAGAATACAGCTGGCCTGGGTCACCATTCAGACTGGCATAGAGTGGCTGTGGCTGGCTATGGTTGGTGCTGGGGAGGGACATGGGGCTCTGGGAAGTCCCATCAAGCCACTGGCCTGGGTGGATGTGGAGGTTACCAGTTCAGCTCACATCCATGCAGCCTGTATGTGTGGGGACCTGCTGGAAGCGTGTGCTGCCCCGCATGTGTGTTGGTCACTTGGGAGGTGCAGGCCTGCGGTCCTCAGCCACAGTGGCAGCCATTCGAGCTGGCTGAGGGAGCCCTGTCTTGCAAGTCTGTGGATTGGGGGCCACTTCCTTATACACTGGGGATGCAGACCTGGGAGGGTGAGCTCTGTGCTGTCCTGTACTCGCTGTGGGGGAGTGCTGGGATGGGGGGGAGGGCCAGTGACCATGAGGCACTGCCAGCCACAGACGAGGTTGCAGCCTTGTGGAAGGGCCTGGGAGAGTGAGCCCCCGGCCTGGGCGGTACCACAGCTGCGCTGGTTTGCACCAGGGCCTGGGAGCCTTCAGGTGTGCGCTGTCAGTGTCACGTGGTCTGCAGAACTGTTGCTTCTCTGCTTCTGAACCTGAAGGTCACTAGTGCCTGTGCCCATGCCAGCCCCCACAGCTGTGCATGTGGGCAGCTGCTATCCATGGGTGTCTTTTTCTTGGTCTCAGAACCAACCGTTAGTGCCTTTTCTGTGCAGCAGCCATGCTGTCCCTGCTACATCATGGGGTGCAGTGACGGGAAAGGCCATGTGGCATTTGCCATGGCATCTTCGTGCTGGCCCCTAGAGCTGCCTCCCTGAGGGAGTGGGAGGCCCTGCACCCGCTGTAGCCTGGCTCTGGGGCTCCTTGCTGAAGAGGAAGCCGCAATGATTGGAGCACAGACGCAGCCCAAGCTGCCAGAGGAGAGGCAGCCGGTGCTTCAGGCTCAGTGACAGGAGGTGTGTCTGAGGCTCAGAGTGAAACTGCCCATTCATCTAGCTCAGGTTGGCAGGTTCTTGGTGCTGGGGATTGAATCCTGGGTGCTCTGTCACTGAGCTATGCCCCAGCCTTTTATATTTTTTAAAAATTTGAGACAGGGCCTTGCTAAGTTGCTGAAGCTGGTCTCAAACCTGTGATCAGGCTCCTGCCTTAGCTTCCTGAGCTGCTGGAATTACAGGTGTGCGCCACCACACCTGGCTTAAAAAAACTTTCAATAATGCTGGATGTGGTGGTGCACGCCTGTAATCCTAGCTCCTCACAGGCTGAAGTAGGAAGATAGAAAGTTGGAGGCCAGCCTCGGCAACTTAGCAAGATCCTCTCTCAAAATAAAAAAATAAAAAAGGGCTGGGGTGTAGCTCAGCGGAGGAGCACTTACCTTACATACATGGGCCCTGGGTTCCACCCCAGCACTGGACTCACATACACACGCTCACAGTCTCTTAGAAGTGTGTTTGGAAGCCAGTGCTTTTCATTTTAATCACCCTTACCCCCAAAATAAAGTGTTAGGGAGAAGTAGGGTTTATTGCAGTGATGAATGCATTAGAGTATTTCTTTTTTTTTTTTTTCTTTTTGGTACAGGGGATTGAACTCAGGGGCACTTAACCACTGAGCCACCTCCTCAGCCCTTCTTTACATTTTATTTAGAGATAGGGTCTTCCTAAGTTGCTTTAGGGCCTGGCTAAGTTGCTGAGGCTGGCTTTGAACTTGACCCTCCTGCCTCAGCCTCCTGAGCCACTGGGATTACAAGTGTGCACCACCATGCCAACTAGGAGAATTTATTTTTTCTGAATTTTCATATGTAAGTCTCAGTGCTGAAACTTCTCTCTTATCACTTTTAGTATTCTGCTGAGAAACTGAACAAAAGTGGCCATTTGTTCCCTTTGGAGGTCAGTGGTAAGTGTCTCAGAAGCCTTGACAGGGAGTAGGGTGGGACCCAGGGGAGTCTTAGGAGCTGAGAGACTGGGCTTCAGAGCGAGGCCCAGGGGATCCTCTGTGTCCTCTGTGTGGGCCGGGAAGGTCGCTGGCTGCTGTCTTCCTTGCTGGGCCAGTGATCATGCATGGTCTGTGAGGATGGGCCAGGGTCAGGGCTCAGCGAGGGCTCTGCCTTCTCTGCTGGCAGCAATGTGGGTGGGGGTCAGGGGACTGTCTGGCCCTTCCTGGGAGGTACCAGGCTGCCCCATGGCATCCTTTGGCCCCTAGAGAAGGAGCAAGTGAGTCAGGTGTTGCTGTGGCTGTCACTGCGATCTGCCCTGGTGCGCACTGTGTAGCTGTGTCGTTGGGGACGGCCATGCAGGGGTGTGCCTGCGTCTTCCTAGGCTCGCCCTTCAGCCAAGGAGGCGACCTCTGAGCTTGGGGGCTGTTTCTGAGAAGTGGCTCTGTGGGGTCGCAGCCTGTGAGGCTGGCAGGGACAGAGGGAGACAGCTTGGTGGCGCAGGGTGTGCACAGAGCTGGGCTTGCCCCCAGGGGTGTTCTGAGGGCCTCCTGAGACCAGGTGGTCTCCTCAGAGTGAGTTAGCCCCACAGCTGGCCTTTAGGGAGGGAGACTGTCCTGGAGCCCGTGGTCAGCACAGGTGGGCCAGCCTTGCCCGAGTGGCTGGTGGCTTCTGCTCTAACATGTACTCACCTTGTGTCACCTTTTGTCCCTCTGCTGTGGCTGCATCCCTCAGAGCAGAACTGGGGCAGGCTCTTGGCCTGTGTCTGGATTGCGGGGACCCCGGCCCCTGCTCACCGTCTCTCCTCCACCCTTTGTGTCTCCTCAGTGGACGAGAGCCCCTGGAAGGCTTTTCACACAGGGCGACCTGCTGGGAGCCAGGCGGCCGCGGGGCCTGTGTGCCCCTTCCTGCCAGGCCCCTGTGGCGTGGCGCACACTGAGGGTCTTCAGTGGAGGCCGGAGTCTCCCTGCTCCTGCACAGGCCCGGGGGTGGGCAGTGCTCTGAACCTCTGTGAGAACACAGGGCCACCGGCGGCACCACCGACCAAGCGACACTGCCGATCTCTATCCGAGCCCGAGGAGCTAGCACGCTGCCGGTCCCCATGGCGCCCTGGTGGCTCCAAGGTCTGGACGCCAGTCTCCAAGAGGCGGTGCAACAGCGGCGGGAGTGCCACGCTGCAGCGTTGCGGCACCGGGAGCTCTGCCCTGCAGCGGAGCCCGGGCGCAGGCCTGCCCAGGAGCCCCACATCGCCTGCCGGCCCCATCTCGCCTCTGGTGCCCCGGCCAGCTTCAGCCAGTAGCGGCTTCGTGGACAGCAGTGAAGGCAGCTCAGGCTCGGGCCTGCCCTGGCGTCCCACAGGGCCCTGCCCGCTCTCCTCAAGGCGCCGCCTGTCCCTCTCACAGGAGCACCTCGCAGAGGCGGGGACCCGCCTGCCTTCAGCCAGCAGCACCCCCACATCCACACCCGAGCTGGGCCGGCGTCATGGCCTGCTGCGGTGCCGCTCACAGCCATGCGTGCTCAGCGGGAGGAGGAGCCGGCGCAAACGGAGGCGTGAGGAGGATGCCAGGTGGACGCGCCCGTCCTTGGACTTACTAAAAATGACACGGGTGAGCTTCACCGAGAGTCCTGGGTGCTCAGGAAACCTAGGCCCTGATGGGGTGTGCCTGGGGGTTCTGCAAGGGGCAAGGAGCCTTGTGCAAGGCTCAGTGCACCTCATTCTGAGTCGGTGTGCTGCGTGGGATGACCTGGGAAGGGAGCATAGCCCCCATGGAGTGGAGTCCAACTGTGAGTGATGGTGGCCCTGTCTCTGCTTCAGAGCACCTGTAGTCACACTGGGGCAGAGCCTGCACACTGGCCCTGGGGACAGAGGAAGCCGGGAGGAGTGCATGTGCGTCTCCAGCCCAGTGGGCTGTCTGCTGGGGACCCTGCTGCATCTTCAAGGGTGGCAATCACCCGGGAAGTGAGCCCGGGAGCCCAGCAGAGCTTGGGGAGCTGCTCCAAACCCTGGGCCCCTTGGCCCATGGGAGTCAGTGGGAGATGGGGCCACTGGCCTGGCTGTAGGTGACTCAGTCTAGTAGCAGCTGGCAGGTAGCACCCACACGTGACCCTGATGTCCCTGCCACCTCTTGGGAAAGTCCTTTTTTTTAAATATTTTTTGTAGTTGTAGATAGACAGAATGACTTTATTTTATTTATTTATTTTTACGAGGTGCTGAGGATCGAACGCAGTACCTCGTACATGCTAGGCTAGAGCTCTGCTATTGAGCCACAGTTCCAGCCCTGGGAAAGTCCATTTAGAGGGAGCCATTTTTGTGTTGTGGTCTGGAAGAAAACCTGGTGCAGGCTGGAGATCCTTACAGTGGGTGCCAGCCCCCTGGCCTTTGGCGATGCCCACAGCCGTTGCCTGTGGCGCAGTCCAGAAGGGGAGGACTGAGAGGGGCCTCTGGAGTGTGCTGGGAGGCATGTCCGTCTCCCTGCCTCAGGTGGAAGGAGGCTAGACCTGGATGGAGCTGCGGGCCCTGCTTACAGCTGGTTGGCTGTGTGGGGTCCTGGGGCTGCACAAGGTGGAAGGTGGGGTGGCAGGGTGTGTCTGCCTCATTAAGTGACCCGTGGCCCTGGCTGTTCCCTGACTGCCCACTGCCCAGCCCATCCCAGGGCCTCAGGCCATTGGCTCCTGTTGCTGTGGGGCCTTGCTGTGGGTGAAGTCTGGGCCCTGCACGTGGTGGGCAGTTGGTGGGTAGTGCCCAGGCTGTCCTGGAAGCAGCTGCTGGAGTGCAGTCTGCCGAGTCCTGAGCACAGTCAGGACAGTGGCCTCAGGCTCTTGGCCAACTGGCTGGTGTCCCGTGTGGGACGCCATGGGGCCCTGCCATGTGCCTGCTCTGGACCAGGCCCACTTGATCGGCCGGTTCTCTGCAAGGCTCTTCCTGGTGGTGATGGGGGTCAGACCCAGACTCACTTTGCAGAGAGCCAGGTGGGGCGCCTGTGGACAGCTGGAGGAGCTCCAGGCCCACAGCACTGTCCTCCACCAGCCAGGGTGCTCGTGGGCATGGCCTGTGGGTAGAAGGAGGACGGCAGAGGAGGGGCTGCCAGTGGGGAGCCATTGGCTGGGTGCCTTCAGGGTGGACATAGCTCATGCCAGGGACATGTTGATGGCCAGGCGAGAGTCACGTTCTGGAGATACCATAGACACTCCGCACCCGTTGGGAGAGAGAGAAGGCGGGCATGACCAAGGGTGGTGCTGGGTCAGAGTGTCCATAGATGTGGGACAGTGGGGTGCCCCACAGGGCAGGGCGTGGCCAGAGGCAAGGCTGGCTGGCCAGGTGCCTCAGGTGTGAGGGTGGGGCTGTGCTCTGCACACCTCGCTGTGGCTTTCATGCTCTGGAAAGCTGCATCTGCGTGCCTGCGCTGCCCCCCCCCCCCACCTCCCTGAGGCTGCTGGGTTACTTCCAATGGGCTGTGCTCCTGGGGCAGCCCTGCCCTCCACGTTGTCCACAGCTGTACGCGGCTTCCTGTGGCCTCTGGGTGTGGCTGTGGGTCCTGGTACCAAGCCTGTTTTCCTGGGGCCAGTCTCCCACAGGCCTCTGGACCTGCGTCTCTGCCTTCTGTCAAGTGCTAGCAGTCTCCGCAGGGCTCTCTGCTCTGGTTGCACAGGTGGTCAGAAGTCTCTCCTGGCCTGGGCCTGTGGCCCTTCTGAGCAGTGCCCTGAGGACGCTTTGCCTACATTTCCTGATTGAGTTGAAGCCTCGCCCATGAGTTCGATCTGGGCCTGGGGCACCTGCCGCTGCTCTGTTTCTTTAATGGTTACACATCTTTTAGGATTTTCTACTTATTTTTTTATGGAAGTTGTGTCTTTGTCATAAAGGGTCTGTTTTAATTAGGGTCTCATTTTTGGGTAATGTCATGGTCAGATCCCTCTTGACCTTTGTGAATTCTCCTCCTGATGCTGTCAGTAGTGAGGTGTGTGCTGTTGTGAGGGTTGTGGCCAAGGCCCTGTGCTGGAGGGACCTGTCTGCAGCACTCCCGGCCAGCCTGGTTGTCCTGGGTGCAGAGTCCTGCATGCCTGCCCCTCCACCTGCTGGTCTAGCCTGCTGCCTCACGGCCCTCTTGGTGCCGGAGTAGCCTGCCCAGCAGGAAGTGCAGCTGTTCAACGTAAGGAGCAGGCATGCCGGTGCCGTGCCATGTGGCTCACCCGGATGCTTGGTGCTGCGTTTTCAGGTACCGGGGTGAGTCTGGAGTAGCCTGGACCCTGAGATGTCACTTGTGGGCGGAGGTGGTTCTGAGGGACACCTGTGGTTCCTGCATCCAGCCTTGTCTGCGCCTCGGGAGTCTCCCCAGGAAGCCTCTCTGGATGCTGGTGGCCGTCCCGCTCGTCTGTCACTCCAGCTGTAATTGGGCCTTCTGCAGTGGCTGCCCTCACTGGGTTTTGGGGCCTGCGTCCACACACCAGGACAGGCAGTCTTCTGAAGGAGCGTCGGGAGGGCTGTCTGCTCAGCCCTAGTCGGTGTGCTGGAGTCTGGTGAGGGCCACAGTGGGTTGGTCGTGATGGGGAACCAGAAGCCTCTGTTTTTAGAGGTGGCCACTGCCGTATCCATGGGCAGAGAGCTCAGCCAGGACCTGGACATGGAGAGCTGGACGTCCCTGCACCAAGGCCCTGGCCTCTGCAGCAGGAGGTAGGGCCTGGCCTAGGGAACCAGAGCCTCCACTCTGGGCCTGCACCGGGCAGGGTTAGGGTGGGCTTTAGGCAGCAGCAGGTAGACACACACTGCCTGCCCCGAGCCCCACGTGGACTCTGTTTTCACAGGAAAATAGTTTTGTTTTCAACAGCCAGGCGATGGTCCGAGGTGGAAGTTGCCCTGGACGTTGTGGATGGTTGCAGTGGTGGGCAAGCAGGGGCCGGCTTCCCACAGGGCGCGCCCTACGAGCTGCAGAGCATCTCCAGGGGGGCACATGCTGCCCCCTGCAGGGTCGAACCTACTCCCGTCTGTGGTGCAGAAGGAAACTGCTCCCTGATGGCCTTTCATCTAGGCCTGGAAGCCTTCAAGATAGCAGTTAGCAGCTGGTCAGTAATTATTGTGGGATCCAGAGGACCTAAGGCCAGCTGGGCTGGACATGGGTGACGAAGCCTCTGGGGTGTTGTGCTCATGGGAATCGAGGTTTGTGAGCTGTCACCACTGTCCTGGGCCTCAGAGTCAGGAGGAAAGCAGGCTGAGCCCCCGTGAACGCCGTGTGCTGGGACGCTCAGGTGCCTTTCTTGTTGAAGCCAGAAGTCCTCAAAGCTTACCACAGTTCGCTGTCCCCAGAGAGAGACCCTCTTAGTCTGTGTGCTGTGACAGAATTCTGCAGTTTGGCAGCTATGGATGAGCTCAGCGGTGGAGCGTGGACTTAGCATGTTCTGGGCTCTGGGTTCCCTCCCCAGCATCACCAAAAACAGCAGCAGCAACAGCGGTCTGGTGTCTGGGTGTATGAGGATGCGGAGGCTCCCTGGGTCTGGAGGCTGGACTCTAACTGGGTGTCCAGAGGCCCAGCATTGGTGCCTCCTGTGGAGAGACCACCCTGTTCCTCCCATGCATAGGGACGGAGGTCAGTGGGCCTTGGCTGGTTCCCCTGAGCCCTCTGCAGGGTACTTCCCCCTGGGGGGCTCTGCCCATGATCTGGCCCCCCAGCGGTACCACAGTGGGGCTGAGCCTGAGCACTCAGGGTAGAGGAGCTGCGTTCTGAGCTGGGCCTGCAGGCCCCAGCAGAGGCTCGTGCGTGCCCTTGCCTCTGTCCCTGCGCCTGTTCTGGACCTTCTCCCCAGGACTGCACCAGGCCGTGTGCACAGGTGAGGGGTGCTGCCGCTGGCCCTCCCCTGCCTCCCTGCAGAGGGCTGTCTTGGGCTGGCCTCCCTCTCGAAGTCGTCTCCCACAGTCGGGCCTTCCGATGGGCTCTCTGTCTGCACTGTCCCCAGTGCTGAGCCAGCAGACAGCCCTGAGGACCTGCTCCACGTCCCATCAGTCACTTGTGACTTTAATCTTCACGTTGGATAAACACATGTGAAGGTGGACACGGTGACAAGCCAGTGCTGTCTCAGAGGCCATTGCCACCCTGTGGAGGGAGCTGCCTGGGGCCACACGGGTTCACGACGGAGCCAGTGTCTTAGGCTGCGTGCACGGGCCCCCACTCTGTTGAGCCCCTGGGAGTGTGGCGGCTCCTGGGTGCCAGGTGGGCAAAGGTAGAGTGTGGGCTGAGCACGGCACGGGCCTCCCTGAGCAGGGCCACCATGGCCTCAGGTCCCCAGACGGTGCAGGGTACCTGCAAGCATGGTCAGCAGCAGAAGTGGGGTGAGAAGCTGCCTGCTCCCCGCCATCCTGGCCGCAGGCCTCCTGTGGCAGTGCTGTGGCCTGGCTCTCCTGCCTCTCCAGTGCCATGGTAGGGGCATGTGGCCCCATCCTGGTGTCCACCCTAGCTACTGTCTTGTGCTTCTAGGGACCTCGATCCCTGTCTTCATCCGACTCCTTCCTCCAGCCCTGACTTGCCATGAGGAGTGGGTGCCGTCCCTCCCTGCGGCCTGGGCTCAGGTCACTGGTGTCCTGCTTCCCTCTCCCATCTTTCTTTCTGTTGAGTGATGGGCATCTTGTCTCTGCGACACCCTGTGTCTTGCTGGGCAGGCTGTCTTTGCTGGCCGCCATACCTCCTGCTCCCTCTTTGGGTTTGCTCTCAGAGATGCATGGGGTGTGGCCCTCAGCCTTGGGCTTCCTGTGGCATTGGCTAGGCTGGAGTCTCCTCAGGCTCGAGTCCCATAGAGGCCCGGGAGTCCCTGCCTGGAGAGGCCTGCATGTGGGGTGCAGGTGCTCACCCAGCCCCCACCCTCTACCAGAAACTCCTGAGAGTGTAGCTCCTCTCGGGCAAGGCTGCGGCAGGTGCCAGCGGAGGTGGCAGGGACCAGGGGTCCATGTGCTTCCCACACCTGCTTCCTCATCACATACATGTAGCGTGCTCATGCACAGGCCTGTGGACACACCTGTCTGACCATGTCTACCGTGGCCCTTGGTGTGGATGTGCGCAGGCCTGCAGGCCCCTGGCCTGGAACAGCCTGGCCTTTCTCTTCTTGGCCATGGAGGGAGGCTCTTGTGCATTTGCCCAATGTCTTTGCTATTTCTTGGCCACACTGTGGCTTACTCTTCTGGGCTAGGCCCTGGCTAGAGCCCTGGCCTGCAGAGGGGCTGCTGGGCCTGTGGACAGTTAGCATTGGTCCTGAGTAGCCTTGGATGGTGGGCAGGGCTAGTACTTTCCCAAGAATGTGAACCTGAGCGTCTTAGTTTGGCCAAAGCTGGGGCCTCTGCAGGTGGGTCAGTGCAGATGTGGTGAGCCCAGCCTGGACATGTGTGGAAGTGATCTTGAGATGGTGTTAGGAGGCCGCCCTTTCTTCCCCCAGCTCACCTGATGATGGTGCTACAGTCTTGACCACGTGCCAGCCTGCCTCAGGAGTCAAGTCTGTCCCCACAGGCTGTGTCATGCCTAGGGCCAAAGGCGCTCTGGAGACAGCGCTGCTTAGAACCCGAATCTGGCCTTTGCTTTTCCACGCCTCTGTCAGGCTTCTCTGCTTGGAAGTGAGGACAGTCCTGGGGACGAGGCCAGGTGTGCAGACGGTGTCAGTGCAGTGGTCTCCCCGGGAACCTCAGTGTCCTCTCTGCGGCCCAGCCCTGCGTGAGGTTCGTGTCTCCTGGAGCAGCCGTCCTGTCCTGTCTACATCTGGAGGTCCTCAGAGGCTGCTGGTTTCCCGCCTAAGCTGCACAGCTGGGGTCACAGAGGTGACAGGACCCCGCAGTGGTTCCTGTGCGTCTGTCACATTTATGCACAAGTCCAGCAGGTTGGCCTCTGTACTGAGGGCTGAAATGCAGTGTCCCTGTAAGCTGGCGCAGCAAACAGTGTGGCCCCACTGACCAGTAGGGCCGGGGGGAGACAGGACCAGCGCTCCGGCCAGTGGAGGTGGCATGTGGAGGTGGCATGGGGTCCAGCTCACCTTGGTTTGAGAAAAAGTAGTGATGCACCCTTGTTCGTGCCCAAGCGTGGCTGCGTTTGTCTTTGAGGACTTGGTTCTCTGGGGTGTAACTCCTCAGATGCTCACTTTTCATAGTTGAGCGATGAGAGCAGGAAACGGAGCTCTGTGTCTTGGGAAGCGTCCTTCTAGGTGCTGTGTCC